TTAATTATACGTTATTGTCCATGTTTAGATGCAGTAATTATTGTCCACTCGTACCATCATACATTTATTATAATGTAATTATTGTTTACCTTTATCTGGGATTCGACCTTTGTTTTCGATGATCGTACAGGTCATCACTGTCTAAAAAATATCCAATCATAAAATATACGAATCTAAATATTACTATTTCATCGTTAAATCGTCGACAGAAATCGCGGTGCTAATTTTCCAAATGAAAATTTATAATTTATGGTTGATCAAACTTTCAAATAATTCTTTGTGAGTTTTAAAATATGTATTTATATAATATTATAGTATTTTAATATATTTGATAATACTCTATGTTTTTAGATTTCGTGCTCAAATAACTATATATTTAAACAAATATAAAAAATATAAACTATATATTTTAAATACTTTTGAAATGACAGTTAAAGACCATATTTTCAAATTATTGAATTTTTTGTACTAACAAATAAAATTAGTTCGTGGAGGTGTTGTTGCAAAACGTGGTATAATGGTACTTAAGTGGAAAGACCTCTGAGACGTTTTGATGTATAGTATAATACATGATAATTGAATGATAAGTTTTAAGAGAAGCGAACAACAACGATTTAAAAACCTCGTGTTGTTGCTGATTAAAATAAAAGGAAAGAGTGGGTATATTGATTTGACAGACCAAATGTGATCGAACATACCTATTTTACGAAATCTATCAAATACTATAGAAAACTTCTTCGACATTATTTGTATTACGTCTATGGTCAACGCTCTTTTAATTTACACAAGTGCAACAGGAGAATACAGGACGAAAAATAACACTTGATTTTAGAGAAGCTGTGATTGAAGAATTGTTGCAAAAGAACATTGCACTAGACAAAACAGAAAATTAAGAAAAACATATACTTTGAGTATAAAATATACGTAAAATATAATCTAGTATTTATTATACTTGGGACATATTTTCAATTTATTAATTTCGATAGATTACTATTAATGACTACAATTTTCAAATCACCATAGCCCCCATATCTTTTAAACTCATTATTATGGACCTTTTATCTTTAGAACTCCAAGTAAAATAACTCAAAAACTACAGTACAAACTTTGATTTTTATACGCCAAAAATTATCCACTGTATAATTTATAAGTGAATAGGAGTGTTCTCATTTGAAAAACAGACATTTGTATCTTCAACACTCCTTAAATAGTACAACAATCTCAAGAATTTGAAAATATGATCTTAAAGTATGTATTTAAAAATTAAAAAAAGGCAATTAAAATTTTATCATCGTAAATTAATCTTACACCACGTTTAGCCGTTTTGTGTAAATATTACTTTTAAAATTGCATGGAATCATATTCGTATGATGATGTTGAAAAAATTTTATTTCAGTTACAAGACACGCATTTATATAATATTAAATATTAAATATTAAAATTAAGTATGTGTACAAAAACGTTGGCCACATTATTTCATTATTAAATATTAGTAAAGTATATCTGTAAAAATATGCAATGAGCATTTTAGAAGTTTAGATGAATATGCTCATTCCAAATAAGTTTGTGTCAAATTATATTTTTATTACAAAATTTCCTTTAGATATATTACCTATATTGTCTATAATATGCAAATGTATCGAGTTCCAAGTCCTGTAGTTGTCAACACAGATTACTATTTTAGATTCTGAGTGGGGAAATAAATGTATTTGTTTTAAAACAATAATATGGTTTTTTTGTGCTTGTCATGTCTATAGGTAAGGTTGAATCTTTAAGTTAAATAGTTGATAGACAGATATTAAAAAATGTTTAGCATTATTATTTTACATTTTTTTTTTATTTTTAACTTAATTGAAGAGATATTTAGAATACGCCAGTTTTCTTATTAAGTTATTTTTTTTTCATATATAAATAGTTAAAAATAATAAATATCATTTAACGCAGGCAATACATTTACTTTAATAGTAATAACACAAATAATTCACTTATGTCGCCTTATATTTTTTGAATAAAATATTTTAAAATATTTTTGTTTCGAGAATTGTACCTAGGTCGTAGTAGTATTTAATTGTATAAGCATGCATTATTATTATTATTATTATTATTATTATTATTATTATTATTGATACAACTTATTTATATATGCTCATGTTATGGTATCAAGTATGAGGAAATAATGTGAGTAAAATAACTAATAACTTATGACTTATGAGTATAAAATAATTATGACTAATTGCAACAAGAGAAGTGAACGTATAAGTTTAGTTTTTAAATTTCCTATTATACCTTATTATATCTATGATACATCCCTATCATCAATATAATTATTTATAAATAAACGCAATTGGGATTTGATTGGAAGTAGGTAATCCGTTATTTATTATATTAACATCAATACAAATCAATAAATTATATCAAAAGGTAAGTTAATGAAAAAGCCAACATTATCTTAACTTTTACTTAATATGGGAATTGGTTATACCTAGCATTGCTTACTAGGGCAGCAAATCTGTTTGAATTTTAAATTTTTAGGGTGGGTTAAAATTTTATACAGTTCTAGATTGATACTTTACAGTCTATAATAGACAACTTAGTAAAAAATGCCCAGTACTTTTCATAGTTAATAATAGTCATTTTTCAGAGACCTTTTATTTTTTAGGTCACTAAACCATTGTTGTTAAAATAACTTCAAACAATTAGGTGTATGAGTTGTACAGCTAATTGATTAATCGTTCAAACTACGATTTTTTTAAAAATATATTCTGTTGGAGCAGGAAATAAAAACGTATGAAAATTGCATTCAAAAATGTTACCTATCTTTTAATTTAGTTAAATAAAAAGTAAAAACCAAAAATGATTTTATTTTAAAAAATATACCCAATTTCGTGACGAATTCAAATCGATTGAAAAACAAAATATATACTTCCAAAATGCGTCGGTGGTTTTGAGAAAACGAGCGTTTACCTTACAGAGTTTCAAAGTATCACCTCGTGTATTATAGGTTGGAGTCGTGTCGTTGGAGTCGACGATAAAGCGAACTGGGGAGGATTACGTGACGCTGCGGTGCATCGCGTTTCGCGTACATAATAATAATAATATAAACTTTTCGCGTTGCATTATACAATACACATTTATATATTATTATGTTTTTGTTCCGGCGAGCGGAAGCTCCGGCGGTGGCAGTAATATAGTCAGCGGGTTCTCGCGTTTTCGGCGGAAACGTTTTCTCCCTTCGGTTTTGTGGCGTGGCGGCGGCGCCGGCGGTTGGGGAGGAGGAGCAGCAGTCGTTCGTAATCCCTCGGCGGCGTCGCGGCGCGGGTCGATCGCGACGAGGTGTCGGCCCGGCGGAGTAGAAGCTGCGAAAATTAATGGACCAATTATCCTCGGCAAAGCTGTTACTCTCCGCACCCCGAGTGACTGATACAGTGTGGACCGGATAATAATCCGTTTTCCCTTCGCGTCCGCTGGACGACCGTCACGACCGTATTACATTACTGTATTTTATATAAAACACGATGCGCAGCGACCCAATGTTTCGGAAAATTAAAACAACTCCGGTCGGACGACTCCGCACGCGCGCTCGTGCACCGTAAAAATGTATAATAATAATAACAATGATAATGCCTAATAAATTATTGTGCGTTGTATAATTGTGCAGACGTTATACGATGATGATTATAATAATATATTCGAGTGCATGCGTATAGTGTTTTGCCCTCTGTCCGTTAAAAGGGTACGGCCCGAGTTTAATTCCTGACCCGGGTGACGTCTCCGCGCGCGTGCTAGTCTCCTTTTGGACAATGTTTTAAAATCGTTACTCAACCCCTTTATTAGCCGAGGACGCTACAATTTAAACCTATTTACAAATATTTATAATAATTTTCTTAATCATTATTTTCATTAGAATATTGCAGTCGGCAGCATCTAAGGCCATAGTACGTAACATTTTATTCACATACTATATTTCAAGTTACATTTGTCAGCAGGGGGAATATCATTCATGATTATATTTGAAGGTATATATATATATATATATTATATGCGATTCTTTTAGTACTTATAGTTATTCATACCTACTTGTAGTTTAATCGCACGATTGCTAAATTTCTATTTGTCTAAGAAAAATTAATTGTTATAATGAAATCTGGTATAAACTGTGTGCATGTTGTTTGGTTTCTGGCAGAGATATGCTAAGAAGTGTCTATACATATTTCCAATTCTCTACGACCTCCTTGAGTATTCGTTCGTGATGTGCTTAAATTTTAAACCCATTTAATTAACTGTAACAGTGTAACACGATATATTCATAATATAAATATATATATAAGATAATATTCAGGAAAGGCTAATGGTTATAAATACCTTGAAAAATTTTAAGGATAAATATTTTACAGTATTACCAGCATTAGGTTCTATTGTATAATTGATGTAGTTTTGTTGTACGGTATAAAATAACTAAGCTATCAAATGGAGAAGAAAGTGAAGAACTAAATATACCAACAAACTTGTACAAAATAATCGGACCCGACAGTCAACCAGAAAAAATCATGTCATTCCTCAGGACCACCAAATAGAGAAATACATTAAAGTAATAGTCAATAGCAATAAGCCACAAAGTTCCCCCTATTATTGTAATCAAATTGTCACCCAAGACATGTATTAGCATAACGTATTAATGTAAGTATAAAACGAATGGCCCATGTCGCTGAAGCTAAAAAAAGATCAAAAAATAAAAAAATAAAAATAACCAAGATCGAGTTTCATAGTTTTTTTCTTACTACTATAAGACTTTCATAAACAAAAGTTCTTCAATTCAGTTGACAGAAAGCAGCTGTCTGTATCTTATTATCACGGGAAGTCTCTTTTAGTGTGTAGAGGTTGATTGCAAAGAACTGATTAAACTTAATGTAGAAACGTGGCAAACTAATGAAAAATATTAAGTTGAGTTAATTAAGTAAGGCGAACATAATAACGTTAAGTTATAAGTTAGTACCCACTGTGCATTTTAGGTTACAGAACATTGTTGCGATGTATGATATAAGTTTCAATGCTAACATCGCACGTCGACGTTACCAAAACATCGTGTAAACGGTTTAGTTTTACAAATATTTTAAGTTTACATATAAACATCCCATAAACGTTGACGTTTCAACATCTCTGAAACAAGTTGCTGTAACAGTACAACAACAGCGTAGTGATGTGATGGAAAACGATTTATATTAATTCAATTATTATTTAAAAATAGACAAATATAGTGGTATTTTTATATTAAATATAAATAGATAAAACAAATTTTGTTTTATCTATATCCCACGCTCGCCGCTAAAGCGCGGCTAGCTAACCCACCCACCGGCCAACAGTCACCACACATAACCGCCTAACCTAACCAGTGATTCACTGCGTTATTGCATTTTCTTCTGTAATAACAAATAGACAATTATATATAATAAAGCAATTATTACTAGTATAAACGGTTTTTCTAGTACGATGACTACACCAAGTTTTAAAAAGGTAAGTGAAATATATAATAATATATTTTAAAAACATTTTTTTCTGTTGACTTCAGACGGTAACTCGTATGGTACCTACGTGTGTATGAAAAGGTCAGGCCATGCATAGTTTAAGTTTTAAGTACCTATCTAGGACGCTACCCATATACATTTGTCATGTACGACATGGCAAGTTTTCGTTCACTAGTTTCAATAATTATGCTGTTATTTTTGATAGGTATTAGAGTAAATTCACCTATTATCAAACTTTTAGGTAAGAACATTACGTATTCTCGGCGTCACCTTTTACTCGATATTTTAATTTTCAAGCGAGATAATATGATCATTTTTAATTTGTGATATTTCACTTACCCATATCTTTCTTTATAATTAAAATAGGTATCGGAAAAATCGCCGACACTTGTGCATATATAATGTTCTTACCTAAACAGCACACTATTGAAACTAGTGAACCGAGATGTTGATGTTCTATGTCATACACTCGTAGCCCGTAGGTACGTTTGTAAGACAGAGACAACAAATACATGGATATAGCGTCCTCTTATTTTATTATTCTCTCTTGCAACTATATTTTTTTATATTAGAAAATACTATGGTTTTGATAATATTTCTTTCACACAAGTAATTTTAAATCTATACATACAATAATAAATTCAAAAAAAATCGTATTTTTCCTCTATTATTTATAATTTTTTCAAAAGTTTTATTATATATTGCAGTCATCATTCAGAAAAAAATGGGTAGTGGCAGTTTTTCCCGAGTCCAAGGACTATAGTGTTATACCTACCAATTGGCTAGTAGACAAGGAGAAATTAGCCGAAGGTGCTATTAAGTTTTGTCGATGGCCACTCACCAGAGTAACTAGCAATGAGTTAAAGGCTGCGGTTGATCCAGAACCGTTATGGGAAACGTACCGTGTAAAGGTAGTTGGCCGTAATAAATCATATGGTAAGAATTTTAGATACCTAGCTATTTATTGTATAATATATAAGTACATGTAAGTACAAGAGCGTCACTAAAGACAAATTTTTATAACAAAATGTAAAAAGAACTCATGCACGTTAGGACAAGTACTCGTTTTAACTATTCATTATACCTACTTATTATTTATTGCACTCTTATTAAAAATAATTCATACTATTACTAGTTACTAAATATAGGTACTGACCTAATTATTTGTAATCAGGCCATACTTACTTCAATTCCATTTTGTTAGTTTTTTTTTAGTATAGTAGTTTAGTAGGTATAGTTAATACCTATAGTATTTTATCGGGCTATCAAAAGTACACAGTAGAGGCGCCTATGTGTAAAATATAAATAATTACATAGTTACATCATAATATTAACTGTTTTAAATATTATTATTATTCATACCTAAATTATTGTTGTTTTTTTTTTTTTTAGTGCATCACTTGATGTATTATCTGTAATATCTACTATTAATAAAGTTTTATTAATCCAATGTATCTTACTTAATACATTCAGATAATTTTAATAAAGCATGGCACCAAAAATTTTTTGAAGAGTCGTCAGCTACAGAAAATGAAGAAATGGATATTACAAAAAAAAAACAAAAAAAAAGCTACGATAGTGATTCAGATGAGAGTGATGATGAAGGTAAAGTAATTTTCATATTATAATTATTATTTTAGTGGATTTATGATTAAGCTATTTTTTTTAACTGCCCATGTTATACATAATGTTTAGGCAATAGTGGTTTCTATGTTGAGGAAAAGTCTAAAAGTTCATGTGTTGACTTACAAACAGTAAACACATGCCCGTCTATATCATCTGTATATAATATGCTATCACCAATGCTACCATCAAATATTCTCACACAAATAGATGATTATTCTGAAAATGTAGAGCCAACGACATCAAATTCATCAATGACCCATTTAAACACTACTGTTTCAGAATTACAGGTAATTATTATAGGTTCTCACTAAAATGTTGTTGTTCAGGAAAACATTTT